GCGGCTATCAGAAAGATGTGATAAAAATCAAAATGAGTGTGAAGCAGTATGAACAGTACCGAGTTACCGATTCTAGAATGCTTCAAAAATATGATTTCCATTGAAAGACTAACTAGTAAGGGTTATATGAGATGATATACAGGCTACGATAACGGGACTACATTTTTTAATAAGGGTAAAAAATACTAAAACTTTGACCAGCTTCACATATGATAACTGCAAACCTTTCGACGACTGCGTTGTTGCGGATAATCATGCCTCCCTTTTAGCTGATTTAATGACTTCACTGGATGCCCAGCATTATTTGCCCCACTATCGCTTCCTCTGTGGTAACGTTGCGAATGCGACTCCTAAACAAAACAACGATTTCTTTAATGCTTAGAATCCATAAATGGCGGTTCTTCACTGAATGCGCCAATTTTTTTTCAAGGATATCATGACTTCGTATCATAGCCACATGCAAAACAACGGAACAGAGATAAGATAAACTAAAACTTGGGAAAACATTGCATGGATAAACAAACCTCGAAATCAACTTTGCCAAGCTGCTGCCCTCCTCGTCCTTTTCGGTTGTGACCACGTTGCGCAAAACCTTTGTTTCGGTACCTAATTACGAGTGCAATCAATAACAACCGAAAAAATAGCAATCAATTTTATTTCAATAATGAAAAGGAGAGAAAAAAGAATATGGCAAAATTTTCAAATGCTGACCTGTTAGGAGCACGGTCCACGGTTTCTTCCGACGGCGGAAATCCTCCCAGTTCTTCGTTTCTCCCCTGTTCATTGATAGCTCCACTCTCAATATTCTTCGGCGGTGGTGCCTTCGCAACATTCGATTTCGCTGCATCAGATCGGGTTTTCGATTTCAGGGCTGGTGTAGTTTTCTCCCCTACAGCGCCGTAATGGGGCTTTCCTTCAAGTCCATGTGTTCCTAGGTCACCTTCAGAGAGTAGCGATGGCTCGTCCACATTCTAAATCAAAGCGCTTTCACATCAATCTTTAGTATTTACATGTGTAGACGTCTACATAACATTGGAAGTTTACAATAAGTTCAATTAAACAAGATATATGCATTATTATTAAATATATTGATATATGTATTATATTCAAAGTTCATTTGTTTTACAGACCTTCAAAAGCCAAAAGCAAACATCATCTCCTGTTCAAATTCCTTAATCGAATAAGTACAAGTTTAAAAAATTGCCTTTAATCCGGTAACATTGAGAATACTAAAGAACAAGGATATACTGGGTATGCACCTTCCGTTTCACTTTTTTCTCCAGATCATTCAATAATTATTACCCAAAGTACTAGT